ACCCATAGCCATAGAAACTCTTAGGGTGGCCCTCCCTCTCACCCCAACCTACACCCAAGGTTGTTGCTGTGGGAAATGTTGGAGAAGGGAGTGCTGTCTATGCTATCTTGAGCTCCTGAGGGAAATGTGAGATATACTGTAAATCTAATAAATATTCCCAGTACAGGAATTCCTGTGTCTTAATGTTGGTTGTAATTGTCCAATCTCCTGGTCTAACATAGAAGTCTTTTTTTCCCTAAAATAACAGGTGAGGCTGCTATCGGCTCATTTGTTCATGAATTTTGCACACACTTGTTTGGGTCAGATCTCTGGGCACGATCTGAAATCTCATCTACGCAAGCCGCTTCTAATTTCTTCCAGTGGAACGTGATACTACTTTTTGCAAAAGGCCATTGTGCCCGGCCTAGAGACCTGGTGGCAGCTGTTTGAATTCTGGATTTGAGCATTGATTACTGACCGCTGGGCTTGGGTTCAAGGAGTATGAATTATCCTCTATGTGCACTGAGTGGGACAGCATTTTCTTGGAGCAGCAGCTTCCTGCATTGTACAAGAGAGAGGCTAATGAGGGTTAGGTTGTTCAGGCAAGAGAAGGCACTGTTACTGGGTGGCGAACAGCTACTGGGAGGCCGAATGTCAGAAAGTACGTAAAAGTGTTTTGTTTTGTTTTTTAATCTGAAGTAGCTGTACAGGCTTATTGCTGCTCTTTTCATCTGTTCTCATCGTACAAGTGGTGGTAAACTCTCATGAGACATCGGGGTTAGAGAGGTCTCTGAGTTCCACAAAAAGGGTACTTGAGACAGCAGGTTCATTGCCCCTGACTATAGTAGCCAGGAAATCAAGAATAGGCTCCTTGGTTATCCTAGCTTAATAAGGACTAGAGAAAAGAGAAATGTGGCACTTTGCAGATTCCTAGCTGGGTAGATGAGAACTGAGGGATGCAAAGGATTTTCAGAGTCTGAAGAGACTCTCCTCTTGGATAATCTCTATGCACCTGTACCCCCATTAGGTACACACACCTAAATTCTAAGCCATTATTGATATAATTACTTTATTTTTACTTATATAATACAGATATAGTACATACTGTGCCATTCTGGGCACACTTACAAAAGTCAGGATATGAGCCAAGGTGAGATAGGGTGGATCTTACATTAAAGGGGCATCACTTCTCAGCCCTTTGGCTAAGATCAGGTGTAGTATTAAAGGGGAATGATTGGGCCAGACAGCAGTTACCTTGCCAGGAGCCTGAAATTCTGGCTGGAGCATTTGTCTCCAATCAGCTAATCCTAAATATACCACTTTGGAATCTTGCTGACCAGAAGCCTTATTCCAAGGCTCTTATTTCTGGTTAAGAACAGTGTTGCTGAGTGGGAATAAAGTCAAAATTCAGTTAGCATTCAGTAGTGATTTTTGTGGCAAGAGGCTAGTATTGTGTGCCAGTATTCATAGTGGCAGCAGGTGGCAGCACCTGCCTGACTTTTTCTGGGCTTGAAGGTAAGCAGTGTTGAGCCTGGCTAGTACTTGGAAGGGAGGCCACAAGGAAATCCTAGGGCAGTGAGTTGAACTGAGAATGAAATAAACATTGTAAAAGAAGACATTGGCAAATCATTCCATACCATCACCCAAAACTCTACATGGAGATGTTCAGATAATCACCAGGAAGCAGGTGCAGCTCAGAGACTTACTTTCTTTTTTTTTAATTTGTCACTTTAGGTGATTTGCCAGACTTCCTCAGGCAGCAAAGTGCTTTCTTTTGATCATAAAGAAGGTGTTCTACTTACTTTCCATCTCCTACTTCTACATTTCACTGGTGTTTAACTCCTGAAAATGCACAAACGCGTTATATCCTTTCAGGAAAGCTGAGCTATTGTGCATGAACCTTCCCTTCCCACAGATTTAAATGAAGGTGCTTGCTTATGAATTACTTTGTAGTGCTTTTCTTCAGTTTCCCACAGAGGCCAATGACTTCCATCTCCTTTTCTTTGACAGACCTTTCTTGCTGCTATCAACCAAGTCTTTCCTGCGGAGGAGGACAGTAAGAAGGATGTGGAAGATAATTGTGAGCAATGTAAACTTTAATTGAGGGGGTGGGGACCCCGTGAACATTGAGGCTGCTATATCCCAGTTGCTCCTGCATGGCTTTTGCCTGAGCCAGAGACCCTTCGCAAATGAATGAGTGTTCCTGGGGGATGTCTTTCAGAATGAAACTCCCAGGTGACTTGTTGCTAAAGAGGCCTTCTGTATATTTAGAGGATGCCATTGGAAGCATACTGGATCTGAATGAAGAATGTTACTCAAATGGTTGGCAAGAGCAGCATTGTCGGACTAGCCTTAGTTATGACTATTGCATTTCTTTATATAATCCTCTAGGTCTGCCACCAGATCCTGACCCCTTTTCTCACCCCTTCTAAGTCTGCCACAAATTTCTTTCAGGGACAAGTAGCAGGTTTTCTGTAATACAGGTTATTCACGTCATGTTACTCTAGGCTTTAAAGACTATTTTGAAAGGAAATTAAGGAGTAACGGTTGGATATGGATGTACAGTGCATTCAGAAAGTATTCAGACCCCCTTCACTTTTTTCAATTTTGTTATGTTGCTGATACTATAATCGTTCAAATTCATTTTTTTTCTCATTAATCTACACTCAGTACCCCATAATGACCAAGTGAAAACAGAATTTTAGAAAGGTCTGTAAATTTATTAAAAAGGAATGTATGGTGCTAACGAAACCATTGTTGTGCTTTCACTGCAGGTTCGCTAATGTATTTAAATGAAGCTACCCTCTTACATAATATAAGAGTTCGCTATAGCAAGGATAGAATTTATGTAAGTATCATCTTAGCTTGTGAAAAATATGGGTGGTTTTTTGTCACAAAGCAAAATACGAAATACTGTTTATTTCATCAATGACCAGCAAAAATTAAAAAAAAAAACAAGCACCAATGTAAAATCAAATAGATGAGATAAAATACTAGCATAACAAAGATAAAATAACACATAAAATGTGACATACACTACTATAATAGTGCATTAATTACTGTGCAAGTGTACATCTAAAATATTACAGTCTATTAAGTAAAATATATATAATCTAAAAGCAAATAGCTAGTATGTGTTAAACCTAAAATGATAAAGAAAACAGAAGTTATTATTTCTGTAACCAGTTTTGCCTTATTTTCATCGTGGCACTACAGAATTTGGCTACTGCACAAGTGATAATGGGTTTCAAATCTTCTAGAAGAGGGTTCACACAGAAATTGCCTGGTCTTCTTGGAAATTTACATATCAGGGGCAGAATATAAGCAGACCTGATATCCCTATAGAATTTACAATGTAGTAATGCATGCAAAATGGCTTTGATCTCCTTGTCACCCCATGGGCACCTACGTTCTGTTAATGGGGTTTTGGAGTATCTGCCTTGCAGCAGTGCAGATGGAAAGATGTTATGCCTGTCTTTGAAAAATGCTATTGTCAACCTGGGGAAAGTTAGGTTTGTAGATATCTTGCTGGTTCCCAAGTGCCCTTATTTATCCAGTTTCTGCCATGTTGGGACATCCTTGACTTCAGTCTGAAACTCCACATCCCTTATTCTTTGGGTGAGCAGTTGTTTGGTTTGGTCATATCCTAAAGAAATTAGGGTGCAGAAAGCAAATATAATGCCAACTTTTGTTCTACAGCCTGTTTCCAGGGAGAAGGAAAATTGTCTATTAAAACTAAAGGGGTCAGTCCAACTGGGAAGAATTGGATTTTCAGCCAGTAGTTTAACATCATCCTGCAAGCCCTTACCTGGGTTGCAGGCATTCCTGTCTCAAGCTTTAACTGAGGATTTGCTGTTCCATTGGGTGCAGCAAGGATTGATCTCAAAAATTTGTTTGCACTGTTTCCAGTGTATTCTTCTTTGCAAAAATTCCTACTTGTGCCCCATAAAGGATTTGGGCCAGCGCTTTGGCCTCAAAAAGTTTTAATGCTGCAGGGATTAACTGTCCTCCACTTGTTTAAAATAAGTGCTTGATAGCACTTATCGAGCACTTAGAGCTAGCTGCACGATGTGATTCTGGTGTGCGTTCCAGGTGCCTTTAGAGTAGAAAACTACCCCAAGGTAACCTGCTCTAATTTGTGCCCTTCTACTCTCCAGGATCGTTGGGTGGCTCTCTTAGCAAAGACCAGAATTTTAGATTTTTCAAAATTAAGAACCAGGTGATTTTGGCTGCAGTACCAAAATATTGCTGCTGTTGCTCTTTTCAGCCATATGGGGGTTTGTGAAATTATGGTGGTGTCATCAGCATAGAGTAGTATAGGGATTTTGCACCCTGCTAGTTTAGGCGTGTGGAAATCCAGATTATGAAGAAGGTCCACCATTGAATTGACGTACAAGTTGAAAAAAGAGGGGGCAAGAATACATCCCTGTTGCACTCCTTTCTGAACACTTACTGTGCCAGAGAGGGACCCTTGAGGATTGTACTTCACTCTTAAGGTGGTGTTGGAGTATAATTTCTGTATCAGAAAGAGGAGGTATCTGTCAATAGTTGTGTCTTTTAATTTTTCCCAAAGGGCATTCCTGGAAATTGAGTCAAAGGCATGTTTAAAATGTAGAAAGGCCATGAAAAGGGGAAGTGTATTTTTGTGCAAGATGGTGGAGAACCAGAATGTGGTCTGTTGTTGACCTCCCTTCTCTGAATCCTGCCTGCTCATCTTGGATTATGCCCTCTGTCTCTATCCAGTCTTGGAGCTTGTGATTTAAATGTTTAGCATATAATTTGTTAACAACAGTCAAAAGACTGACATGCCTGGAAATGCATGGATCATTCTTACTGCCCTTTTTATAAATTGGGACTATTATTGCTAGCCCCCAATCTTTTGAAACATAATCAGTCTGATCTATGAATATAAACAGGGATGCTAGCAGAGGTGCCCACCTCTGGGATTCTGGGAGCTGGGATTCTTGTTAATTATTTTAGGCAAAACATAATCAACACCTGGAGTCCTGTTCACCTTAAAGGATTCAATCAATTGGGTTACCTCTTGCACAGAGACAGGGGGCCAATTTTGAACTTGGTCCAAGTTGATCTCACATAGGGAAAGCAGTTGGTCCTCAGAAGGAAAATGTTTACTCTTTCTATATGCTATGTATGATCTTTTCAGCTGTGAACAATCCTGATCAAACCACTTTTTATGTTTTACACCCCAGTTACTGCAGTGTTGCTTTGTTTCTTTGACAAAAGCAGATTTAAGAGATCATACAAGTCTAAGTATGGTTTTTGAGCATTGTTGTCTAGCAGGTGTGCACAATTTCTAAGGTTTCTGGGGCTGCCAGCCATTTCATTCCATTCATTGTCACAAAGCAATTTAGGAAGAAATTTACTTTGAACATTCAGTTTTGTGAATAGAAATAATTCATTAAAAAAACTATGCCGTTGCTGAATCGATTAAGAAGCAGGAAAGCTGTATAACCAGTAGACTGATCCTTCAATCACCATTCTGTTTTGTTGAATATACCTACTCAAATTGTGCATTGCACGTAATACATAACTCATCCTTACATGCAATTCTTTTACTGGCATAGTATATTGAAAAACAAAGATGCATGCTTCCCTTCTTCTCTGTCAAATGAAGAACCCCACATCACCTCTGACACTTCCCAGCTCAAACAACCACCTTAATATTTTATGTGGCTATTAGATTGCCTGATCGTATGTATCAAATTCTGACTGAATTACACATGATCCCTGCCATCTGCTTTGGCGAATGCCAGCTGGGAAATAGAAGGATGAAACTTCTGAAAGTAGTGCCAGAGGCAGGCATGCAATTATGTTAAAATCTGTTTTTTCTAAATGCTAGCTCTTAAATTCTGACTTACCATTATGTTTGCATTGGCCCATTAGTTTGGGTTGTTCTTTGTTGCTGTTTTTTTTTAAGAAAAACAAGTCACTGTATAATATGCATAATTTTGTAATCAATCATAATTTTAAGTTACATGCAATAACAGTTCATCCTTCAGAAATGAACAGAAATGCTAAAATTATTTTTAGGTAAAAATAATTTTGCTCCTAATTAATTTGTAATTGATTTAACTATTGCACTTAATTATAAGCACACACTAAATAAAAATTACAGCTACTACTACTGATAATAATTTATGTAAAGGATTTACAAAGCGTAATCTTATCTAGTGGCTTTTTACATTGTAATTCAACAGCACAAGAAATGATGCTATTTAAAATTATTAAACCAATATTAAAATAATAAAAACTGCAAGTGCCTTTGGTTCTGACTTCAAGAAATCTGCAATTGACTCAGGGATGTGTTGAATACTCCTTCAGAATAATGCCCCCCCCCCAACCTGGTAATAGGCCTCCAAAGTTTGTAAATAGAAATTCCAAATCCATGTGATTTTAACACATTTTGTTGTGGGTTTTCTTTCCAGACTTACGTAGCCAACATCCTGATAGCAGTGAATCCTTACTTTGATATACCAAAACTTTATTCATTAGATGCTATTAAAAAGTACCAGGGCAGGTCACTAGGGACCCTGCCGCCTCACGTCTATGCAATTGGTAAGAAACAGATCTCTCCTTTTTTTTTTCCCCCCTACTTCCAATGTGTCAATATTTTTGATTGCTGTAGCTTTTATTTTATGTAAGGTGCTTTTATCTGTTACTTTTACGCTGATTAAAATAGTCAAGACAAGATGCTGGAACTGTTGCAGTTGATCCATGTGACCATGAACAAGTGGTTGCTTGGAGTATCGTTTGCTTTTAAGACTTCAATTTATATATTTATTAGTTACTTTTAGGAGAGTGCTGTGGTAATATAGTATCAATATTTTAAGCAAATCTTTTGTTCCACTGTTTTTTTTCACTCAGGAAATACAGGTAGTTGTATACTTGAAAAAGAAATATATTTATTTTATTATTTCAAACAATGTTTACATAGAATATTACAATGTTTCCCAAACTAATGAAAATACTGATATCTGTTCTCTTGGAAACCCACTTTGTTGCCCTTTTCAATATTCGCTTCAGCTGATAAAGCCTTCCGTGACATGAGAATGCTCAAGATGAGTCAGTCGATCATTGTGTCTGGTGAATCAGGAGCTGGCAAGACAGAAAATACTAAATTTGTTTTAAGGTTTGTATCTTTAGCTGAAAATGTTTCCACTGAGTAAATAATTGAACTGTAGCCATTTTAATCCAAACATTTTGAACTCATAATAGATGTACTTCAGATACTGAAAACGCTTGTGAGTGAAATGTGAGCAAATTTCAATGTGTAAAGAAGTCCTGTAACAGAATTTATAAATGTTTGTTTATTTATTTCAAGAATTTATGTGGCTGTCCAACTCAGCCAATGTGACTCTGAGCAGCGTACAACAAAAATCAACATTAAACAAGGAATAAAACCCAATCACCCATCATTAAAAGATAACTCGGATGTGCAAAATGGTCAGTTGAATGGAATAGATGAACCAACAGGGGGCACAGGTCACCTAGGCCCAAAGGCCTGGGGAAAGAGCCATGTCTTGACCGATTTTTTTTTAAAGACCAGCAGGCCTCCTGTAGTGGGTATCTCATTTCCAGACTCCCTGGAGGCAAGGCTTAGAATTCTGACCCTACTGCCTACTAGAAGGGAGTGCCCCTTCTTCAATTCCAGCCTGCTTTCCTCCAGAGACCATCAATGATTCTAAACTCCACCAGCCATCCATATGGTCAGATCAAATTAAAATAACTAGATATTTTGCTTTTCCTTTTTTCCATTGCTTTATCTTATTTTCCTTTGTTTATTTTTTCTCTTAGCAGACATTAGTAGTCCACTTATCAGCGAGTTCATGGGTAGTTGTCCATAGATGCACTGGAGAATTTTTCTGATAGCTGGGACCAAACAAGAGGACTTGAATTGGACAGCCACATAAATTCCAGCGGCACAGGAACATGCACCCTTGTCTTGCTGCTATGTTTCACTTAGCAAAATATGATCAATACCGTGGCTGCCGAGCTACTAGCCATGAGTTGTGAGCCATCTCTGCCTCTAATAGGCTACCCAGCTCCTCTGGGTAGTCAGATGGCCTGGATACCAGAGGGGATGGGAGCTGTGCTGGATGCCCAGCCCTCCCAACTGCTTTTCCATAAAGGAACCAGAATGATAGACTTACTCCAACGGTTCTGCCAGGTAGTAGCTGC